GTAACATCATTAACTAACCTGTGAGGAAGAGTTGGACACCGACAGACACGAGACTGTCCGGGTCCGTCATTTTCATCCTAAAGTCACAGATCTCTTCTTTTACAGTCCTTTCTTCTTTGAGAACATAAAGAATAACGTTTTTGTTGTTTGACGTATAAAATGCGACGCAGCAGCTTTTAGGAACCTTTACAGCTTGTTTCACCCAGAAGAGGTCGTGGTCGTTCTGTGACGTATGGCTGCTCTCGTATATACACGACACGCCCTGATAACTTCCTGGATTAACGTACTTATTTCAACCTAAAATGATCTTTTCCTAACCCTAACCCAACTGCGACCGGTTCCAGAGCCGGTCTTTAGCACTGTGTGTGTGATTCAGTGCGTCCTCGTATTGTTCTTGTCAGATAAAAGAGAAGAAATAAAAAACAATATGTCCTGAGGCCTTTAGTGTCCCATAAAAAAGCTGAATTTCAACACTCACAATCCCATGAGCCAGCAGAGTTCACCACAGCGCCGCTAAAGCTGCTTCAATATGTTGTTGATCAGCATTATGAGACATCCTGAAGTCATTTCTCTCGACTCGCTACTGTGGCAGCAACAAAAACACACATTCAATATTTTCCCCCTTTTTCACATTTGATCTGAAAGGTTCACACGGTTGTTTTCCAACCGGAGAGAAACTGGCATCACTTTCCTCACCGCTGGAAAGTTTCTGCTGATTCGTGCTTTTGTTTGGATAACAGCGCTACGCCGGGATCCCCTCGCTGCTCCCCCCTCACTGCTCCCCCTCTCATTTCCTGTTCATGTGGGCCTGCCCGACCCTCCCAGATAGCTGCAGGAAACCAGAGATAAGAGGGGGAGAGAGGAGAGGAAGACGCTGGTTTATTCTGGTCTGAGTGGACGGAGATCAGCTGCTCAGTGGACTCACTCACCTAAACAACCAGAGCCTGCGGTCGGAAAGCAGCCTGAGGCTTTTAAAGATGGTTAAAAGATAACAGAGACACATAGTCACATCTTAAGTTAGTTAATGTTAATAAAATGCTACCTCAGTAACTAATGATTGATTTGGTTTTTAGCAAAATGCTAGTAAAGCGTATCTGTACCAATTCGCTGACGAGCTAGTTAGTATCCGGTACAAATAATCTACTTTCTAAGAGTATCAAACAAATAAAATGTGTCGATATCCGAACTTTTAAAACTTTTACTTTACTCCTGTGATCTAAAACACGACCCTGAAGCTCAGTTCTGAGGCTGTTATATAAATAGTTTTTAAATGTAGGAATATTATAGTTATATAAAGCTAACGATTGCTTTAGATCAGCTTAATGATGTGACTCCATGTCTCTTTTCAACAGAATCTCGTCTTTTCTTCGCCAATTTTTACATTACCAAAATAGTTTTATTACATTACCATTTTTACAGTGCAGACACTCCTCCAAAATAAAAGCACCAGCTTTAACAGGACAAATAAGAGCACAGCTTTAATAAACTATAACTATATATTAAAGGCAATTTTCACTGGCTACAAACAGGTAAACAGGAACTATATTGATATAAAATATATAAATATAAAAGAATATAAAGCTCAATAAACAATCTAAAGCTCTGATTTCTTCAGGAGGAAAACCAACGACACGATGACGGTGCACACGATGTGTCATAACCCCTCGCTGCCACTGGAGGGCGTCGACTCGAGACTGCTGCTCAACTTCACCTCCAGAGAATGTCACATGGTCCCACAGCCGGCGGACGACGGCGCCATGATGGTCTGTGGTTGCCATGGAGAACAGGAGTGTAACGACAGACTGATCTTTGATAAGGGAGCCAACGGTGAATATGAATGGATGAACTGAGGGATGGATGAACAGATGATGAACAGAGGATGAGCAGATGAATGGATGAGCAGATGAGCAGATGAATGAATGAACAGATGAATGAATGAACAGATAAACAGATGAGCAGATGAACAGATGAATGAACAGATGAGCAGATGAACAGATGAATGAACAGATGAACAGATGGATGAGCAGATGAATGGATGAACAGATGGATGAGCAGATGAATGGATGAACAGATGAGCAGATGAACAGATGAATAGATGAACAGATGAATGAACAGATGAACAGATGAATGAACAGATGAACAGATGAATGGATGAACAGATGAGCAGATGAGCAGATGAACAGATGGATGAGCAGATGAACAGATGAATGGATGAACAGATGACTCTCTCCTTCAGGGTTCTCCAAGCTGCAGAGTAAAGACGTGATCCCGGTGGTTGTGGTCAGTTTGGTGCCTCCTGTCCTGGTTGCCATAGTCGCCACCGCTGCCTTCTACTTCTACCGCACACGCCGCCCTGACAAACCGGGTCCTCCTGTGCGCCCTGACTGGCCCACCAAACGCACCCCAGAGCTCTACCAGGCTTTCGACCTGCCATGTGGGGGTCTGGGTGTTCGGGGAGAGGGTGGAGGGGGAGGTGTGATGGGTCCTGGGGGTGAGTGGGAGGAGTCTAATGCCAAACATCCCAACAATGACATCACCAGTACCAGGACCGACCGGCAGGGCCAACGGACTGAACTGCTGCCCATCAAACTGGAGGTCCTGGTGGGGAAGGGGCGCTTCGCAGAGGTGTGGAGGGGCTGCCTGCTGCAGGGGGAGACGGGGGGAGTCAACAGCTATGAAACTGTGGCGGTGAAGGTGTTTCCGGCCGTGGAGTACGTCTCCTGGAGGAACGAGTGCTCCATCTTCTCGGACCCCAAGATGGAGCACGACAACGTGGTTCGATTCCTCGCGGCGGAGGAGAGGGGTCCGCCTGGCCATGCCCTCCGGAAGTACTGGCTGGTTCTGGCCTATCACGACCTCGGGAACGTGCAGGACTTCCTCACAGCGAACACACTCAGCTGGGAGGAGCTTGTTGCCATGGCGGGGAGCATTGCTAGGGGGTTAGCTCATCTCCATAGCGACACGACGCCCAGTGGGGTACCAAAGGTAAGCTCAGTCCGATCACAGACCTTTTTCACAGCGTTTTTTTTGACAGGTTAGTTAGTTTTAGTTCTAGTTTTGGCATTTTAACCAAAGATATATTAGTCCAGAACCCAAACAGTTGGTTCCTATTTGGCACCAAAGGTTTTTGTATAGTGGTTCCACTCAAAACCGGCTGGTTCGTTAGATAGCACCATGGTTCCTGAACAGAACCGGTTCACGTACCAGAGTTAATCTGGGTGGAAAAACACTAATCAGTCCCTCCAGGATTTTAGATCATTTTGTCTTAAAATGTTTGATTTCACTGCGAGTTTTCTAAAAACTTGTGATGTTCTTTAGACATTTTCCTGCGATGATTTGTGGGCAAAATTATTTAATTACTAAAATGGTTCAGAAGGCTCAACAGATAAGGATTGAGGAGCTTCTCCAGTTTCTGAAGGTACCAATTGAAGTATATACCAACGGACAGAACTGTCCTCCTCCTAAGCTTGTGAAAAATAACACAGCCCATTACAAATGGAGACTGCATTGGCCAACTGTTAGTTCCTTGCTGGAATACTCAGTGGTCGGTCACAGTCTAAAAGCATTGTTGTCAGGCATGACCTGCTTGGGGGAATCAACAAGTAGTTCAGTGGAGAAATAAAAATGTGAGATGAGGAATAGTGAGGTTTGGTTTATGGCTTAAAACCTTAATACATTAAATTACAATTGCTAAGTTCAAATGGTCACGAATGGTTAATTGCTTTAATGCTGGCGATCACAACATAGTCCCAACCTTGGGAGGGATGACTCACTGTTAACTTACCAGCTTCTGTGCTTTACTGTTCTCATCCTTCACTGTTCTATGCCAGCGTCTTTAGCGGGAGAATCATCCTGATGAAACTGCTCACAGCAGCCGTCTAAATATCACTGAAACCGGCGCATAACAGACAAAGATTCAAATGGATCCAACCTTGATTCTCTCCCCAGCCTCAGTGTCATTGGTTTATTTCTTGTACCCAGTTTTCTCATCTGGTCTCTGAAACCAGTGATACGAAGAAGTTCTCCATTTTGGCCAAAATTGTCGTATATAACATTGTATCGTTCTGCTTGTTGCCCGCCAGTGCCGTCCGTGTGGCTGCAGGTGCCAGTTGCACATCGGAGACCTAAGGAGCAGCCTCACCCCTCGTGTGAAGACCAGGTAAGGGAGTGCGCGCTGTGTGACATTTGGTCTGGCGTTAAGACTGGACCTTCCCTTACATGCCGTCAGCCATTGACTTCCGCCAACAGTGGACAGGTAAACGTTGAGCTGTTTGAATGTTGTCACGAACAAACTTGTATCCCGATTTTCTGTCTCTCATTTGATTGGACTCTCCCTGTATCCGTCCGTCCAGCGTGTGGAACCAGCTCCGCTATACCTGTGCTGCCCGAGGTCTATCTGAGTCCAGGGTGACAACATCGGAGCCTTCACCCCCCCTTGAGGCTTTAAACAGATGGATGTCACCTCCCAATGGCTCTCGGTGCTTTGCTGTGAGATGGCCCTCCGCTGCCACTGCCCCGGAGGTATGCACCACTCTTCACCACTCTCTCGTGATAACGACGCAGGTGCCACGAAGCCGGCCCTGAGAGCCGACACCATGCATCGCCTGTCGTCGTCCTTTTGGTGCCAGAGCGCTCGAAGAGCTCAACGAGCCCACCCGCTCGGCCTCCCAGGTCTGTGACGCAGCCCTGTGTGGCACGCATCGCAGGGGACCCTGGTCTCTCCGAGGACGGACCCCGGGGACAGACTCCGGCACATATCCGCACCAAGGCTCTGCACAACCCCACAACTCAACTCATCACCCGCGCTCTCACCGCCTCTCACTCCAGCTACTTCTGTCCGCGGACGCCCCCATTCCTGCTCCACAACTCCCCGAGCTGCTGCCCGCGACCACGCTCCCCCGACAGCCCGACTCCCACTGCGTGGTGGAGCGCCTCAACAGCCCTGCAGCAGGCAGGAGGAAAGGAGCGGGAACCGGCACCGCCACACCACCCGATGGAGCAGACCCAGAAAGCGACTTCTCAGAGCACACCCAGGCAATAGTGACACCAGCTCCTCTCTTCTCCAAAGTGCTGCCTCTCTTCCTCACCCGAGCCCCCAGCCGGCACTCAAAGACAGGCGGTACAGGACGTACCCCATGATAATCCCCCTGGTCTCCACCCCACCGGGCTTCTCGCCGGCTGGAGCGGGGGACTTTCTTCCTCCTGCTGCTGGCTGCTTTTCCACACTCCCCCACGGTCTTGTTCTCAGATAGTGGCAGGGGCCGATAAGAGGACCTAGAACCTCCGGTTCCGCCCATACACCCGGACTGACTACTGAAGTCAATCCCCCTTCCGCGCAGTCCACCCGTAAACATCCTGGTTCTCTCGCCACGCAATCTTATGCTTCCACCTCGCGGAGCCTACGCCTTTAGCACGCCTAGCCAGGGACTATCTATTATTGGCAAATATCCACAGACACTCCAGGGCTGTCAAAAACCTCTAAGAAAACCACAGCCTTCTAAAGGATTTAGTGGCTCCTAGTGGTTCTCGCCCTCACCTTCCACCTTCCAAGCATGAAGGACACTGGTTCCCCAACCCTTTTCCACCCCACCCAGTTAAACTCGACTCTCTATCTTTATTGCACTTCATATATCACCAACAAAAAATAAAAAAATATCCCGCCACAGAGGCGAGAGCTCGAGACCAACAGAATACAACAACACTGAACAACCAGACCACCCCAAACGACCTGAGACTCCAATAACTGCAGGACCTTGTCCGTAATCCCCAGTGAACTTCGCGTCCCAGACTTATGTCTTTCAGCGCAACCTTGTTTATATACCTCTCCTCCGTCTCTATTGTCTTTCTTTTTTAACTTTCAACAACCATACCCCCGCCTACACGCACTAACTCACGCCGACTTTGGACAGATTCAGCCCTGTTTCTCATCTAACAGCTCTGTTGGTCTCTTCTAACCGGCACCCGCCACAGCTCGCAGGAACACGCCTGTAGTTGTTTGTCAGAAATAATCTAATCCCATAGGCTTCTGTTTTCCCATCTCAGTTTTACTAATCGCCCCACCCTGACACCTCATACGACTCTGCGTCTGTGTCTTCTTGTTACGGTACGAACCAGTCCACACAACTCCTCTACCCGACGAGAACGCTCTCCTCGTCAGGAAAAACGGTTGCAACCAGTCGACGCCGCAAGGCAGCGATGCACTAGCAGAAGTACTTCCGTACGACCCCCACCGCACCGCGGTCCTCGTAGCTGTCAGCCTAAAACTCAAACCCACGCTAGAGGCCCGCACGGTCGACGCAAGCTCGGTTCCGGCATACCACCGCCAAGAGGACAGAAACAAACCAAACACTCTTGACGTTCTGTGTCTGCGCAGCGCTGACACCAGCCTCCATCGTTACCTGCCTGGCGAGACTCGTAGAAACTGATTCGCGGGACGCCATCCGCCTCCATTCCTGCCTCGTATGCTATCGCTTTCAAACTAATCACTCCGTGAGTAGTCAGGTGCCGACTCATCAGCACCTACTTCGTATCGGAATCAAACCAACGAGACGAGAGCCAGAGCCGACCACTCAGCATCTGCAGCACGATGCCTCAACTTGAATATGCTGATCACTGCTTACGTTTTGCTGCTGGCCAGGGAAGCATGTTTAGACCAATGGAACACCAAGACTGAACGTATTACTTCCACGTCACACTTCAAACGGATCCCAGTTCGCCTTGTGCCCATCCAGCAGTCGAACAAACCACCAGCAAACCCTACAGGATCGACAGAACATCTCCAACCAGAGTTCGTTTGTAATGCAAAATTGCGTTCTTCTTGTTATTGACTTCCTGTCTGTACCCGCTTGGTGTTCCCGTCCGAATCACCCGCGGTTTACAACGGTAAAGCTGCAAAC